TGTATTTGTTCGCCATTTGCACTTCCACGAGTATCAATCTATGAACCTTTTACATCATCAATTTCACGTCGATGCTGTACCAAAGTGTTTTACGCTAGGAACAGTAATGAGGTCGAAGACTATGCCAGAAGGCTCGGCGGTGGCGATGTTGTTGTCAAAGCTCAGGTGAGAAGTGATGTCACTAAATGCAAGGAATGATCAAGGCTTCAGGTCCTCGGTGGTGGTCGCGGTAGAGGTCACTTTAAAGAGAACGGTTTTCAAGGCGGTGTTCATATTGCGAGCTCCCCCTCAGAGGCTCGAATCGTGGCTGAGCAAATGCTCAACAAATCACTCGTTACTAGGCAGACTGGTCTTAGTGGTAGAACATGTAAAGGAGTCCTTCTCTGTGAGAAGTTGCCGATAGTCGCGGAAAAATATTTTGCTATTATGTTGGACCGAGGGCTTGGTGGACCGGTGATGGTAATGTCCAAGCACGGTGGTATGAGCATCGAGGAGGTCGCTATAGAGCACCCAGATGCTGTCACTAAAATCCCAATTGATGTCACTACTGGCCTCACTACTCGTCAAGCTGAGGAGGCTGTCGAACATTTGGGTTTTAATGGTGACCCCTCTGCAATGGCGACTCTGAAGGGCCTCTACAGGACTTTCGTCGGAGCCGATTGCACTATGTTGGAAGTCAACCCGTTGGCTGAGCTAGAAGATGGGAGAATTATGGTATGTGATGCAAAGCTCGCTTTCGACGACAATGCGGCCTTCAGGCAGAGGACTATACATTCACAACGGGATGTTACTGAGGTTGACCCGAAAGAGGTTGCTGCCTCCCGATGTGGCCTCAACTACATCAGTTTGGACGGCAGTATAGGTTGCATGGTAAACGGCGCTGGACTTGCTATGGCTACTATGGATCTGTTATCAGTTAAAGGTGGCAGCCCTGCAAATTTCCTCGACATTGGAGGTTCTGTTGGGGTCGAAGAAGTGAAGACTGCTTTGGGTATCATAAATTCGGACTCCAACGTGAAGAGTGTACTCATCAACATCTTTGGTGGTATAGTGAAGTGTGACGTTGTCGCTGAGGGAATTGTGAGAGCCGCTCAAGAGCTGAGCATCGACCATAAACCGATCGTGGTGCGTCTCGTCGGCACCAACGTGGAGAGAGGCAAGAGCATCTTAGCTCAGGCTGGACTGGATTATTACGCAATTGACGATCTCAACGAAGCCGCTATCAAGGCGGTTGAGCTGAGCAAAGCTTAACCGTAATTATCGTATTTATCATCTTCCCGGTGTTCGGGGGGATACAGCATTATCGCTACTCCAATTATCTGTTATTGGGCGCGAATGAGCAACGCTCATTAGTGCTTTTCTAGATTAGTTTCTGAGGAATGTGAGTTCCTCACGAGAGCATTCGCGTGTGAGTTTTAATAGTGAATTAGAAGTGGGATCGTTGAACGACTCGAGTTGCGTCCATCGCCACGACATGGCCGTGAGAAATACTGTGAGGGGAATGTGAATTATCAGTGTACAGGTAGAGATCGAATAAGAGCTGTAAAGATGGAGTTCGTCATTGGTGGCGTCATCATGGATAAAGCTGTTTCTGAGAAAATGAATTGAGTATTGCGACTGTTATTCACTGTGTTTTTCAAGGCGCACTACTACTACAGTAAAGCGAACACATCAGCATCTGAAGAGCTGAGTTACTGCTGCCTTGCGGAAAGCTGCAAGGCTTTCGTGCAGCTGGTCATCGAC